AGCTGAGTCTTTCCCCAGTAATATGGCTCAGGCAGAAGTTCCCCTGAGCTATGGCCCTCGACAGACGACTGAGAGGAAGCACAAGGCACATTCGAACGGGGCCCAGAAATACTCAGAGAGGAAGGAAATCTGCTTCCCAGCTGTCATGGAGCAGGCACAGCTAGAGCTGGTTAAAGATGAGGGCCCCTCTCGCTGCCAAGATTTCCCACTCTCGGCCTCCTGGGACGAGAAGAAAGCACCGACCCCAGTGCCGTTTGACTACTGAGCACTGACACAAATTAAACAACTACCTGCAAACAGTAAAATGCTGCAAGAGCTCTAGCTGTTGCCTAGCTGAATGGGAGAGAGAACGTAGTACTCCTGCCAGTGTGGTCAAAAGCCAGGCTTCCCCAGCTCAGAACACCAGAGACTCTGCCTGGATCCGCAGGCCTGGAGGCAGATGCTTGCCTTCCTTGGTGATGCATGCAGAGGACGTGCACCTGTTGCTTGGAGCTGGTTAACTTTGCAGACCTCTTTCCACCCTGAGCCGGTAAGGGCAACAGTCTGAGACTGCACCAGGCTGGCAAGACTCAAGGATGCTCTGGTCTCAAACTGGGAACATACTGGGCCAGATCCTGAGCTGGTGGAAATTGGCACAAATTCACTGGCACTATGCTGGGGATCTGGTGCCCCAGCTTTCGCACTGCACCAAAAGCCGGGACACATGTTTGGCCCAGGGAAGCAGGATAGTGCGGTGACAAGTCATTTCTGACAAAAAAGGAAAAGTCGACAAAATATTCCCCAAACAGCCGGGGGTTAAGCATGCCCAACTCGGGAAGGAGAGGCAGCCAATCAGCTTAACGACCCAACCCGAGTAACAGCTACCACATGTTCATTCAACCCCGGTCTACACTAGGACTTTAGGTCGAATTTAGCAGCGTTAAATCGATGTAAACCTGCACCCGTCCACACGATGAAGCCCTTTATTTCGACTTAAAGGCCTCTTAAAATTGATTTCCTTACTCCACCCCTGACAAGTGGATTAGCGCTTAAATCAGCCTTGCCGGGTCGAATTTGGGGTACTGTGGACACAATTCGACGGTATTGGCCTCCGGGAGCTATCCCAGAGTGCTCCATTGTGACTGCTCTGGACAGCACTCTCAACTCAGATGCACGATTGTTTGCCGTTGCTCTGACGCAGGGAGGGGCGACTGACGACACGGCTTACAGGGTTGGCTTACAGGGAGTTAAAATCAACAAAGGGGGTGGCTTTACATCAAGGAGTATTTCAGGCAGGACTTCACGGAGGGTTCCAATAAGAAATGGTGCACCTAAGTTATTGTTCTTATTGGAACAAGGAGGTTAGTCTGGCCTCTGATTGATACATGGCTAGATTTACCTCGCTGCACCTTCTCTGTGAGTGACTGCAGTGTGACCTAGAGGAATAGTCCCCTAGACGGGGGGCGAGGGGGTTTGCAAATGAGTACAAAACAAATCTGGTCTATTTCTTGTTTTGATCCACTCCATCTATCTTTTACATCTTTGGCTGGCAGCAGACGGTGCAGAAGGACTGCATGCCATCCACATCTCATGGCTGCTCAGCAGAAGATGGTACAATAGGACTGCTAGCCATCCTCATCTCTTGCCTGCCCGGCAGAAGATGATGCAATAGAACTGCTAGCAGTCCATATCACCTGCCTGCTCACCATAAGACGGTTCAATAGGACTGACTGCAGGACTAAAGAGAATGACCTGGTCGACTCACTCCAAATTTAGTCCCTGTGCCCATGTCTGCCCAGGCGCTCCTCGCCGACATGGCCAGGAGCACCTCAGACATGACGAGGACGGCTACCAGTCGTACTGTACCGTCTGCTGCCACAAGGCAATGGGTTGCTGCTGCTGTGTAGCAATGCAGTACCACGTCTGCCAGCACCCAGGAGACATAGGGTGACGGTTACCTGAGCGGGCTCCATGCTTGCCGTGGTATGGCGTCTGCACAGGTAACTCAGGAAAAAAGGCACGAAACAATTGTCTGCCCTTGCTTTCATGGAGGGAGGGAGGGAAGAGGGGCCTGACGGATATGTACCCAGAACCACCCGCGACAATGTTTTAGCCCCATCAGGCATTGGGATCTCAACCCAGAATTCCAATGGGCAGCGGAGACTGCGGGAACTGTGGGATAGCCACCCACAGTGCAACGCTCCGGAAGTCGACTCTAGCCTCGGTACTGTGGAAGCGCTCCGCCGAGTTAATGCACTTAACGCACTTAGAGCATTTTCTGTGGGGGGACACACACTCGAATATATAAAACCGATTTCTAAAAAACCGACTTCTATAAATTCGACCTAATTTCGTAGTGTAGACATACCCTCAGTGATTGGTGCAGCACAGCCATGGGGACCAGGCAGCCTGCGCACAGCCGAGATCCACCTGTGACGGGACAGTCTCTTGCCGTGTGTTCCCCTTTGGAAAGCAAAGTCAGAACACAGTTTTCTAACATAGGGTCATAGCCAATGTTCCCTCTAATTTTTGACAGGCCGTATGCGCAAAAGATTTCTTCTGTGCAAATTTTTGACAGGCATTGTGTGCAAAAAATTTCTTCTGTGCAAATTTTTGTGCGCACAGTGTTTTGCCGTGTATGCGGAGTTTAGGATCTGTGTGCACGCGCACACACGCACAGCTGAGAGGGAACAGTGGTCACAGCCCATTAATGATGGTGACAGAAGCGGGGGAGGAGGGAGCATGAAGAAGCTGCTTTGGAGTGTAGCCAGAGTCCCTTTAAAGCCAACACCCTCTTGATGCTTTAGGACAAAAATGTGTGTTTAGGTTTCCCACTAAGAATCTGTTTAGATACAAAATTTGACATGGGCAAGCATGTGGAGGGGCAGTACTCTCCGGACGCAATGATCCACACGTGCTGGTGAGAGAGGGCTGCCTGACAGGAAATAAACAGATCACCCACTGGGCAATATGTCTGTAGGAGCTAGACCGAAACAAGTGCCCCCTCTCCCCAGTGCTTCTCCTAATTGCTTTCTGTGCTGTGGCACCAGCAGTCCCAATGCCTGCTGAGATGACCCCGTGGGTGAGTGGGCTCAGGCAGGGCGACTAGACAGGTTAGTGATGGTGAACTGTATTTCCTCCAGCTCTGCAGCTCTCAGTTAGTTAAGCTGTGCTGCAAGCCAGGAGGAGGAACTGGGTCCAAAGCTCCTACATCTAGACTGGCTGCCCATGACAGGTGAGCAGGACTCACCCATTTATCTCTAGTGACGGCAGCCACCCCCAAGGACAACAGCCTCCTGCCCCGCTGCTGCAAGGGGAACCCGGGCTCCAGCACGCCATGGTCCTGAGCACACCGGTACCTCGCAGGCTGGTGCACATAGTGAGCCAGCCACACTCCAGCAGAAGCAAATAAAGAACAAACCCCAGACAGACACGTGTTGTCATGTGACGCTCCCTGCTCCAGGATCCTGGAGCCAACAGCGGAGTGGGTTCAACGCGGGCTCGCGCCCACCTCTGAGACACAACAGCATGTCGCAGAGATGCCAGCGCTCGCTAGCTGGAAAATTAGAAGGGCTTTCATTACTCATGCTTGACTCGCAGCTGGCGAAGGGCCCCCCCACAACGGTCTGGCATTGGGATTTTATGCCTTTCTCTGATATATCCCGCAACGGCCACTCTCTCAGACGGCACACCAAACGACGGGGACCATTGGTTTGCCCTGGGATGGGAATGGTTAATTCCCGCTCTGGGCTAGAGCCACAGGTCTGCTGAGCTGGCTTCAGCCCCGTACCCTGGAGGAGTTGGGGGCAGGAGAAAGATGGCAAAAGGTGGCTGTACCCCTTTACACTCCCCTGATCCCTGTGGTCTCTAGTTCAGAGGTGGGCAAACTTTTTGGCCTGAGGGCCACATCGGGGTTGCAAAAACGGCATGGAGGGCTGGGTAGGGAAGGCTGTGCCTCCCCAAACAGCCTGGCCCCCGCCCCCTATCCGCCCCCTCCCACTTCCACCTCCCTCAGAGCCCCCAACCCATCCAACCCCCCCTGCTCCTTGTCCCCTGACCGCCCCCTCCTGGGACCCCTGCCCCTAACTGCCTCCCTGGGATTCCACTCCCATCCAACCCCCCCTGCTCCCTGTCCCCTGACTGCCCTGCCCCCTATCCACACCCCCGCCCCCTGACAGGCCCCCCAGGACTCCCACGCCTACCCAACGCCCCTGCTCCCTGTCCCCTGACTGCCCCCCGGGACCCTACCCCCTATCCAACTCCCCCTGCTCCCTGTCCCTCCCCGGGACCTCCCCTCCCATTCCCTGTCTCCTCCCCCCACCCCGAACCTCAGCCCCATCCAACTGCCCCCTGTCCCCTGACTATCCTCCGGGGCCTCCTGCTCCTTATCCAACCTCCCCCTTCCCCTGCCGCTCAGAGGGGCAGGACAGGCTTATTTGAAAGCCTGTGAGGTGGTCAGGCGCAAGGCGGCGTTACTGCAGGGGAGGGGGGACAACAGGGGAGGGGCCAGGGGTGAGCCTCCCCGGCCGGGAGCTCCAGGGCCTGGCAGGACGGTCCGCGGGCCGTAGTCTGCCCACCCCTGCTCTAGTTGGTGTTGTGCTCCCATGTGCTGGCTCTAACAGCATCCAGCTGGGCTGTGATACCCGTCAGGAACAAGCACAGCAGCCCTGGTGACAGCCCCAACATCATGGCCAGGGCTTGGGATGGCCTGGTACTCCAGCTTTATGCCGTCTGGGGATCCTGCCAGCTGGAGGAATCCCAACAGCTGGAGCAACTTCACAGGCATGGCTGCAGCGGCACAGAGGGACGGTAGCAGGGGCCAGAATCTGGTCTATTTATTCTGGGTGCTCACCTTGGCAGGGAACAACCAGATGGGAGATGTGCTCGTGCTCTTGCCCACCCAGCTCCTCCAGGCTCAGCTCATTACTGCTGAGAGCAGACCGTGGGGCCAGACCGCTCGGCAGCCGCTCAAAGCTGGCTAAGAGGGTAGGAGGGAAGAAGTTGGCTTATGCATTACTCACAATGCTCCTCCTCAACTTATCCCCGCCGCTGAAGGTCACTGCCAGCATGGAAGCACACTCCTCAGCATAGAACGGCCTGTTCCCCTCGTCATCCACCGCACCTGGGGAAAAGCGAAGGAGAACACGTCAAGCTCCAGGGGCTGCTGCCTCTCTCACTACACGTCCCAGCTGCTCAGTTCCTAGGCAACTTCTCAGCCTTCCCCCTTGAGATGGTGGCTGGATTTTTCACTCCAAAAAAGTGACAGACTCTAGAACTCCGCACTTCCAGGAGAAACCAAGTCACATATCGAACCGCTGACAATCCTTGCGTTTCAACGCACACCGGCCTGTGCGGGAAAGTTTCACAGGTGAGCAGAAGGCCTGCTACAAAAGGGCCCAGAATTAACTTCCACATAGTGTTATGCCCAAACAAGTCTTATCCTCTTTGTGACCCTGCCAAGGAAATTGAGACAAGCTTGGTCGTTCCACCCCTCGCCCGAGCCCTGATCAGTGGGGAAGTCCTACTCTGTGTAACGCTCCCTCTAGGGAGGTGGCTATCGGAGTCCAAACAGCTCACGGGCACCCACTGTTCAGGCCAGTTACCCCATGGCCACGTCACCCCTCCGGTTGCTCCCTTCCCTCCAGGGCAGGTTGGGGACCAGGAGGATATTGGGAGTTTGCAGATGAGCAATTGAGCTCAATAGTTAGTAGTACACTGGCTCTCACAGTGCCTGGACCATGGATCGCCAGCAATCCCCAGAAGGAAACCTGCTGGAAGCCAAGCAGGGGAATAGGATGTTGGGAAGGAGATGGGGCCAGGAGGGTATCCCTTATGATGCAGTTTGTAAGATGGAAAATCCAGAGGACTTTTGAATTTTGAGCAGTGCTCAGCAGTTTGAAGACGGGCTTATCCAAAGCAAGCCTCCAACCCTTCTGGGTTTCACCAGTCACTATCTGGCATGCACCTACACACACGATGGTCTAGTCTGAACAACTGGCAAATTCCTTCTCAGAAAGCACATAGAAAATATCAATTAAAGCAATTTGCTTACAAAACCAGAACTATCCCAAGATGGTCTTCGCTCAACACCTCAGTCTCCATGAAAGACAGCGTTACTATGGGATCTACTGAGGGGCAGCCTGGGCTCGCGGTGACATCACAGAACCAGCACCCGGAGAACAGGATTCTAATCCCAGTTCTGCAAGGGACTTCCTGGGATTTTAGACAAGTTACTTCCCCTCTCTGCGCCCTAGTTTATCCAGCTGTATAATGGGGAGAATAATACCCACAGCAAATTACCGTTCGTCAGGAGCTAAGTACCGGCATGGTAGACTACCACACAGCTATCTCCTGTGCATGCTGCCCGTCATGCCCGGGTCTGGAACACAGGCCCGGGTGCATTCTGGAATCGTGAGACGGTGCTGCTGCACGGACACATACCTACAGCCGGCGGCCTACAGGGCTGGGGCTGCTGCCTGTACCCTCCCACAAAGCCAACCTGTTCCAGTGTCCGAACAGGGGCCCTACAGCAAACACATACCCTGCTTGGCCTCCAGGAAGAAATTCCCAGAGACATTTACCATATTAAGCCTCATTTTATTCAGTGAAATACCAGCAGATGACGAGAAGCAGAGCTCTCAGCCTGCTATGTTGCTCAGTAATTTTTCTATCCATAGCTACACTGGTCAAGTCTCATGAAGAAGCAACTCCTGCCCCCCCATCCTTAACACACCCTTTCCCTCCCCAGGATTCAGAAATATCTTGGATATTAAACTGAATGGAAAAACCCCTCTCATACATTGGGAGCAAGGGAGGGGAGGACTTGTTGCATTTCTCTGTATTATCATCGTCAACACAGGCAGCTACTTGGATGTCTTACTAATTAGCCCTTCACAACAATTAATCAGCCCCGACATCTATGAGACGCAGGCAAGTTACTTCCACTTTATACCTGGGGAAAAAGCTGCAGTGAAGTGACTTGCCAGAGGCTGTACAGCAAGAATGGGCAATTGTTCCTGGTACCTAGCCCCGTGTGCCATTCCTTAGACCGTGCTGCCTTCCTCCTCGCTAACTCATGCAGGGCAAAGCTGAACTATTGCCTGCAGGGGAAAGTTTCAGTAATTCAGCAAAACTGAAAGCAGCAAAATCCTGCAATGCAAGGGAGGAAGGCAAGCGGGGAAGATACTGGTGACGTCTCATTAACTGTGCATTCTGCAGCGAGAGCACAGATTTTAATATGCATTTTCTCCCTGCTGGCCCTACAGTAGCTGCAGTAAATAGAAGCCATCAATCACAGAGTTACATTTCATTTGCGGAGCCCACATCACCTGCATACCTCCTGGGCCCCAGAGCTTACAGAGCCATCCGTTGTCACGGGCAGACAACGGGGGCGGGGTTAGGAGCTAAAACCCCACACAGCAGGGATGCTGCAGAAATGAAGGCTCATTGCAAGGGATAAAGCTACTTGTTCAAAATGAATGTGCTATAAACTGTTTATGGTGTCCCAGAAGCCTATAATCTTATAGCTTCTGTCATTCCCCCACCCCCACCATCCTGGTCCACCTCCCCAGGCGAATGGGTATTTAAATCTGGGAAAGAAGCATTGAGGAAGAGCTGCAATCAGACAGGACGGGATGTAATGGCTCTGGCAGACTCTCTCACACTTGAAGAAGCACTTCTCTTTCATCCAAGGATCTCAAAGTGCTTTTCACAGGGAGCCAGGCCTCAGACCTCCCCCTGCCACTCACTCTTACAGAAGTGCCCTGTCAGATATGGAATTTCTAGGCAGCCTGGAGGGAGACCCTCGCATGACCAGAACTTGGGGATGCAGGGAATCTGGGAATTTCCAAATGGGATGCTGAGGGCAGGAGTTACCAGTTTCCTTCGGCGGTGGTACCGGTTTAGCAGGCTATGCCAGCCAGTGCCCATTGCCTACTGTTCAGCTCCTCGCATGCTAGTCTGTCACAGGGCTGGGTTGCTGTTGTCGTCATGAACCTGGGCTTTGGGGTAAACCCCTGAATCAGCCATTCTGGGGTCATGGCTCAGTGATCTCTATTAGAACAGCTGCTGTTTGGTAGGTTTCGATTGCTGCATGATGACTTTCAGTGCAAACAGCTCTGACAGAGACAGGGACATTACGTGGGTGATCTCTGGAAGGAATGGAGGAGAAACTAGACCCCAAAGTATTTTTTCATGGCTGGAAGCTCTACAGGGAAGAGCTTAATTCTACTTCCCATTTCACAGATTTTACCACCCCTCACTCAGCTTCTGCCCTAGAGAAGCCGGATTATATTTTTCCTTAAAAAAGAAAGAGTCGTCATTCTCGTCTTTACAATCTTTCTCTAGGGCATGGCACAAGTATTCCCTCCAAGCAGCAGCAAGAGCCTTTCACGCACACCTCTGTGCCAAGGCCCTAAAGTCGGTGCCTGCAGCCACACAGACTGCGGAGAGGACTCTGAGCTCAGCTCCTTGCTGGGGTCATACTGGAGAGCAGACCTGGCAACTCGCAGTGCTGCTCAGCAATCGCCAGCGCTCAGATGAGCGGGGCCGGGTTACAGGCACACGGCAGGTTACCTATAGTGACGGTGTAGATGGAGTTGGCGTAACCATCGTAGTTGCAATTGTCATTGTGCTGCCCTCCATTGCCGCTGGCCACGACAAAAATGCTTCCAAAGCCCCTGCGACCAGCAATCACCCCATGTTGCAAGGCAGCCTGGGGAAGAGAAAAGACATGTTACTGCTAAAGAGTGAGTTCCTGTTGTTCCCTTATCCAGGCTTACCGGCACAATTACAGCCAGAAACCATAAAATACCCAGCTCTGCACCCTGCCCTGCTGAAACGAGGTGCTTTTATAAAGCATTTCCACCAGCAAATGCTGGGTCAATTTCAGACTTGGAATAAGAGGATGAATCTCCATTGAAGCCAATGGAGTTGAACCTGCTTACACCAGGTCTGAACTCAGCTAACCAAGTTTACATCAAAGAGCTTTCGGACTCTGATGTGCATATTTCTCTGCTTTGACTATGTTGATCTGAATCGTGTTCTGCTTTCTTACATTCTCCCTGCAGGTTCAGCTGGAGAAGGTAATCTGTCTTAAACTCGTTATTGTGTAACATTGCTGGATTCCATTCGCAGCACCCATGTTCCAACCCAGAGGTGGCAGTCCTTCCAAAGGCACAGACAGTGACCCTAGCACCTAGTAAAGAGTTAATTGCATGGACCCCTCTGATGAGCAATTATGTTCTAAGAAAAGGAGGACTTGTGGCACCTTAGAGACTAACCAATTTATTTGAGCATAAGCTTTCGTGAGCTGCAGCTCACTTCATCGGATGCATTCAGTGTTTTCCACGAAAGCTTATGCTCAAATAAATTGGTTAGTCTCTAAGGTGCCACAAGTCCTCCTTTTCTTCTTGCGGATACAGACTAAAACGGCTGCTACTCTGAAACCTGTCATTATGTTCTAAGATACTGTGTCCTGGCACTTAGAGCTGGAAACTGGGAGTCAATACCCTTTGGCTACAATTCCCAGCTTACTGTTTGACCAGAAGTCAGTCAAAACCACTCTGTGCCTCAGTTTACCCAACTAGGAAGCAAAGGTAATTCCTCCTGACTCCCAGCAGCGGCATGAGGCTGCGTCTATTATACGCATTCTGAGATCCTGGGACAAACTGTGCTACAGAGGTGCGAAGTAGCTACTAGAGAGCCAGGTGCTTGTCTCAGCATTCTGGACGGCCTATGAATGCTGGGAAAGAATAAATGAACAGGTACAACTGGAATCCATTTGGAACCACAACGTGACAGAGATGTATGCTGTAAGGCAACTGTATCCACGCCACCGAGCTGCAACACAACTGTTGTTCTGTGGTTACCGAGATGCAGCAACAGCATTGCAGGACGAACTCTGCAGAGAGCGCCATCCCATCCTGTGTTAGTTGAGAGCTAAACACGAGCCGTGCACTTGAATTTCTAGGCGCTCACTCCAAAGGAGGCATCATCTAGCTAAGCCCATCACTGTACGCTGTAGGCATCAAATACAATGTACAAGGTAGTAAAGGGTGAAGGCTGTAAGGGAATTGGGACAATGTTCTTCCATCCCTCTCTGGTTAGCGTGCATTTTATGGGCTGTTCTGCACAAAGGGCTCTGGAAGGAACAAGTTCAATGGCCACTGGGCAGCCTCCCCTTTTTCAAGGGAACGCCTGGGCAAAGAGATGAGGTATGTGTCCATCCCGGTTTCCAGAGGCAGGGAGTTCCATAGCTCCACTCACAGCCTCGGCCTCCCAAGACCTTCCCCGAGGTGCGCTGCACACCTTCCCCAGAACAGCCGCAGGGCACTCTCAGGGATTCGCAGATGGGCTCTGATCCCAAAACCTCTGAAATCAATGGGAATATTTTCCCTGACTTTAATGTGCTTTGGATCAGGCCCATGGAGAGGCAGTCCCTGGGTCAGCCAGGCTCTTGCCCATCAAGTACTCTATGGATAAAAACTAGGGGCTTGATCCTGTAGCTCTTACTCACATTAGTAAGTCACTGGGTGGCAGGCGCATGGATGGGGAGCTAGTGCACAGCATGGCTGTGATAAATGCTCACTTTTTAGCAAAAGCCAAGAGCATCAGTGTCTTAATGATGCATTAGGGCCGGAAATGGGCCAGGCCTTGATCTCCATCAGAGTCAGCAGCTTGGCTTCTGCCTGCATTTTTGGGGGGTGTTTCATTTGCTGCTCAGTAACAGCGCAGGCTCTCCTGCTGCAGGGCCGAGCAGTGACTAAATATAGAGAAACCCTCAGCCCACAGCCACAATAACTTATAGTTGTTTGCAAGAAGTGAAGGGGCTGTTCATAGACCTGACAGAATGTTTTAACAAGCAGTGGAGCTGGATTACAGAGTCTGCCAGGGGCCAAATTACCTCTGCACTCCAGCAGCAGCCAGACCAGCCATTCTAGGGAGAGGGGAGGAAAGCCCAGCCAGCCCCCAGGTGGATTAATCCAAAAATCACTCCTTCCTTCTTTTCCTTTCCAGCCACCTCTTTCTCTCAGGCAGGGGCATCTTAAAAACCTTTACATGCCCCTTCCAGACTGACTCCCTCTGCCATTTATCCCACTCATCAGGGTCTGGATACTCTGCCTGAGTCCCTTATTCATTCTCAGGCTTTCTGAGGTTGCACTCCTTGGATTCTAGCCACTCACTGCTACAAAAGCTGTTAAGTATCAAAGGGGCTGAGAGTCTATGTGAGATGAACCTTTCCTTGGAACTTCAAGTCACCATCCCCTACAACCCCGGCTGTCACCCTTTCTGAGGCAACAACAGCTGTCCCTGTGGCATGGTGACCTGGGGTGCTGTGTGCTGCACGATGGGGTCGCACAAGAGCTTTCTGCACCACAGGGCAGTCCCTCCTGCTCTGGGCTTCAGGCAAACCGAGAATCACAGGCTCCAGCCTGGCAAGGCATTTCCCAGCAAGGTGGTCGCTCTGGGGCAGGCTCAGTTCTTTTATACCTTTCCTAGCTGGTGAGGGCCATCCACAGTTTTGCCATCATCATCCGGACCCCAGCTGTGAAGAGAGACACCATGAAAAGACACAGTCACCTTGGGACGCTGCTTTGAATTCAAGTTTTCATGCGTGACTGCAGTGCTGGGAAAAGGTGCCCGACTGGCAGCCCTTTATCTGTCCACAGGACAGATGCAGCACAGACAGGTCAAGGAGCAGCTTCCCATATGCAGCCCTACCCTGTCCAGCACGGCCCACCTCTAGGCAGGAAAGGAGCTCAGTCTCCATGGCCACCTTCTATCCAATCTGCCAACCAGTGGGCAGGCTAGTGCCGGTTATATGCAAAACCTGCACAGAGGCCCCCAAGCACCGGTCAGACAGGACCAGCTTTCAGCCATCTGGGAGCTGAGCATATGGCACTTTCCCATCCATCTGAGGGGGCCCCAGGCCGTCGGAACCTGCCCTCATGTTCACACCACGCTCCGGGTCTGATTCCAAGGGAAGGAAGGTTTGATTTTGGGAAAGGTTATTCTCCCCAGACACTCCAGCTCACAATGCACCTCCCACGCAGGGTGCCTCTGGGCTCCAGTTTCCCCTTTGTAAGCCTCACCCTCACACAAGGCTGGGTGTCACAGGGGGGCCGGTCTACACCTGTCTGGAAGCTGGCTGATTAAGAATAGGTCAAGCCGCCTTAACTGGGTTTACCCCACAGCTCTAGCTGGTTTTACAGTCAGTTTAGTTGGAGCAATTTTAAAATCTCCCAGTGGACAGGCCCAGAGACGGACTCCCATCCAGGAGCACCGAGTACGGTGTACTTCAGCCTTCAACAGCACCGATATGTCTATTAGGAACAATAAAGTCATAGCCCCACCTCTGAAATATGATGGGCTGCAAACCTCCACCTGGCTCAACTGTGCAGGACTCCTGGCAAGGCAGGCTGGGGCAGGAGACACTTGGAAAGCTTGATTCCAAAAGATATGCAGGCCCAAGCCCATGTCCCCATGGCCAGCTCCTGCCTTCCTTCCAGACAGGCCCTTGCTGAGAACGCACAGACCCTGGCCCCCGCCACGGCGGCTGTGTTTGTGGTGTGGACTCTTCTGCCGCCAGGAGGAAACACACCACATGGCTTCATTAAAGCTCAGCCCCCGGGACACCAGGGCCAAGCCTCCCAGTGCAGCGCTAAGAGCCCCCTGGCGCTTTCCGCGGGGTCCCAGGTCCAAAGCCCAGGACAGGACTGGGAGGACAGAAGTGTGGGCTAGCACTCAGAGCAACACACTGGAAGCCAGAGCGCCAGGATTCTGCCATTCAGTTCCCATCTTCCCAGCAGGGATAGCAATGCCAACCCATCTCATGGGAGGCTCCAGGGGCTTCACTGGGGCCTTCAAAGCCTTTTAATGAAAGGTGCCAGAGATCTGCAAAGTGCTCTTGCATCTCTCCGGGTATCCCCATCTCCTGAGCCAGACACCAGGAGAATCCCTCGCCTCCGGCCCCAAACAGCTGGTGCGTCCCCAGACCGGCTGTTCCTTCCAGCAGACATTATCCCACCGAGCAAAGGGAGCAACCTCTCTTGCGCATTTTAATCTCGTTTAAATGTGAGCACACAAAGGGGAAAGATGCTACGGGTTTTGATGCTCACGGCCGAGCTGCTCCTTAGAAGCGGAAGAGAGGGAAGGGAGCTGGTGTGGAGGGAGAGGGGCAGCAGCCCTGTAACACTCAGACAACCACTGCTCTGATTTTGCCAGAACATCCCGGGAAGGTAGCCCAGCACCAGGCTCTGCACCACTCATGCTAAGGGGAGTTGTACCATATGTTTTGGCAGGACCTTAGCACGGAGCTCTGGGCTCACCTGCAGCTGTAGATGTCATTGATCTGATAGTGCTTGTTGAAAGCGATAGCCTCCATGCTATCTGTGAGGGGCCCATCCAGGACGCGGATGCCTGCACAACAAAGGACAATTAGCGTTACTGTAATGGATGTAGGGTGAACCAACTCCTCAGCAGGTTCCCAGCAGGGACATCTATGGGCCCAGCATCAGGCCAAACTGGTTCGTTTGTGCCAGGACCAAGGCAGTAACCGGAGATGGATTCCCTGGACTCAGGCTAGAGCTTGAGTCAAGCCACACAGAGGCTCATTCTGGGCTAGTGAATGGAAAGCCCAACCCTCCCATTTACAAACTGTCAGAGCCCCTCACACCCGGGCAAGGAGAGGCAGATAAGGAGTCAGCCAGTGAAACACGAGGGGCTGCTGGAAGCAGTGTCAGGTCACTGGGGTGATTTGCACGTCTCTGCTCTAAACTTGGGAGCTGGAGTGGGAGGATGGGGAAGGGAGGCAAAGGGATGAGAGAAGGGGAAAGGGTGGGTCAGAAGAGACAGAAGGCCAAAGTCTTGACCTCCTGGGGTATGTCCACACTGGAGTTGGGAGTAAGCTGTGGAGACAGACTCACACCAGCTCGTCTTACAAACTCAATCCGCACCTCCCCCCGCCCAGCTCAGGTGGCTAGCCCGAGCCTTCACCAGTGCTGTAACAGCAACACGGCTATCTTTCGCATGCTAGCGTGAGTCCCGCTGCCACGAGTCTGTCTACACAGGCTGGGAGGCTCGATCCCAGCTGCAGCACAGATGTGCCCTTGGGGTCCCCAAATAGCCCCTGGTGCTTTTCACTAGGACTGAGGCATCCTGGCCAAATTCCAATTCAGACAATTCTATTCTGCCTGCCCAGCCCCCCTACAGCCTCAGCTGGAGACAGTATTTTTTAAGTCACCTGTCCTAAATTGCTGTGCTGTCATAGAATCATAGAATATCAGGGTTGGAAGGGACCCCAGAAGGTCATCTAGTCCAACCCCCTGCTCGAAGCAGGACCAATTCCCAGTTAAATCATCCCAGCCAGGGCTTTGTCAAGCCTGACCTTAAAAACCTCTAAGGAAGGAGATTCTACCACCTCCCTAGGTAACACATTCCAGTGTTTCACCACCCTCCTAGTGAAAAAGTTTTTCCTAATATCCAATCTAAACCTCCCCCACTGCAACTTGAGACCATTACTCCTCGTTCTGTCATCTGCTACCATTGAGAACAGTCTAGAGCCATCCTCTCTGGAACCCCCTTTCAGGTAGTTGAAAGCAGCTATCAAATCCCCCCTCATTCTTCTCTTCTGCAGGCTAAACAATCCCAGCTCCCTCAGCCTCTCCTCATAAGTCATGTGTTCTAGACCCCTAATCATTTTTGTTGCCCTTCGCTGGACTCTCTCCAATTTATCCACATCCTTCTTGTAGTGTGGGGCCCAAAACTGGACACAGTACTCCAGATGAGGCCTCACCAATGTCGAATAGAGGGGGACGATCACGTCCCTCGATCTGCTCGCTATGCCCCTACTTATACATCCCAAAATGCCATTGGCCTTCTTGGCAACAAGGGCACACTGCTGACTCATATCCAGCTTCTCATCCACTGTCACCCCTAGGTCCTTTTCTGCAGAACTGCTGCCTAGCCATTCGGCCCCTAGTCTGTAGCGATGCATTGGATTCTTCCGTCCTAAGTGCAGGACCCTGAACTTATCCTTATTGAACCTCATCAGATTTCTTTTGGCCCAATCCTCCAATTTGTCTAGGTCCTTCTGTATCCTATACCTCCCCTCCAGCGTATCTACCACTCCTCCCAGTTTAGTATCATCCGCAAATTTGCTGAGAGTGCAATCCACACCATCCTCCAGATCATTTATGAAGATATTGAACAAAACCGGCCCCAGGACCGACCCTTGGGGCATTCCACTTGATACTGGCTGCCAACTAGACATGGAGCCATTGATCGCTACCCGTTGAGCCCGACAATCTAGCCAGCTTTCTACCCACCTTATAGTGCATTCATCCAGCCCATACTTCCTTAACTTGCTGACAAGAATACTGTGGGAGACCGTGTCAAAAGCTTTGCTAAAGTCAAGATACAATACATCCACTGCTTTCCCTTCATCCACAGAACCAGTAATCTCATCATAAAAGGCGATTAGATTAGTCAGGCATGACCTTCCCTTGGTGAATCCATGCCGGCTGTTCCTGATCACTTTCCTCTCATGCAAGTGCTTCAGGATTGATTCTTTGAGGACCTGCTCCATGATTTTTCCAGGGACTGAGGTGAGGCTGACTGGCCTGTAGTTCCCTGGATCCTCCTTCTTCCCTTTTTTAAAGATTGGCACTACATTAGCCTTTTTCCAGTCATCCGGGACTTCCCCCGTTCGCCACGAGTTTTCAAAGATAATGGCCAATGGCTCTGCAATCACAGCCGCCAATTCCTTCAGCACTCTCGGATGCAACTCGTCCGGCCCCATGGACTTTTGCACGTCCAGCTTTTCTAAATAGTCCCTAACCACCTCTATCTCCACAGAGGGCTGGCCATCTCTTCCCCATTTTGTGATGCCCAGCGCAGCAGTCTGGGAGCTGACCTTGTTCGTGAAGACAGAGGCAAAAAAAGCATTGAGTACATTAGCTTTTTCCACATCCTCTGTCACTAGGTTGCCTCCCTCATTCAGTAAGGGGCCCACACTTTCCTTGGCTTTCTTCTTGTTGCCAACATACCTGAAGAAACCCTTCTTGTTACTCTTGACATCTCTTGCTAGCTGCAGCTCCAGGTGCGATTTGGCCCTCCTGATATCATTCCTACATGCCCGAGCAATATTTTTATACTCTTCCCAGGTCATATGTCCAACCTTCCACTTCTTGTAAGCTTCTTTTTTATGTTTAAGATCCGCTAGGATTTCACCATTAAGCCAAGCTGGTCGCCTGCCATATTTACTATTCTTTCGACTCATCGGGATGGTTTGTCCCTGTAACCTCAACAGGGATTCCTTGAAATACAGCCAGCTCTCCTGGACTCCTTTCTCCTTCATATTAGTCCCCCAGGGGATCCTGGCCATCCGTTCCCTGAGGGAGTCGAAGTCTGCTTTCCTGAAGTCCAGGGTCCGTATCCTGCTGCTTACCTTTCTTCCCTGCGTCAGGATCCTGAATTCAACCAACTCATGGTCACTGCCTCCCAGATTCCCATCCACTTTTGCTTCCCCCACTAATTCTACCCGGTTTGTGAGCAGCAGGTCAAGAAAAGCTCCCCCCCTAGTTAGCTCCTCTAGCACTTGCGCCAGGAAATTGTCCCCTACGCTTTCCAAAAACTTCCTGGATTGTCTATGCACTGCTGTATTGCTCTCCCAGCAGATATCAGGAAAATTAAAGTCACCCATGAGAATCAGGGCATGTGATCTAGTAGCTTCCGTGAGCTGCCGGAAGAAAGCCTCATCTACCTCATCCCCTGGTCCGGTGTTAAACAGCTGTGCACTGTTAAACAGCTGATGCGTTCCACCCCAGACCCAGCTGTAATGCAGCAGTGGGCGAAACAATCCCATTACGTATAGGTTGCTAAGTATTTAGGGATCCGTTATGGCAGAAGCGGATATGTATCTGCTCAATATATTATTAATTAGAAAGGCTTCGAAGTTGCAGAACTACCAGATTTCTGTGATCGAGACACTGAGTATTTGACAGTACAGTAACCCCGCCTCCAGAGGCTAGATTATAAACAAATGAAAGCTTAAACGGGACTCATGTTTTCAGGGAACCAAAGAGTCGATAGTCAAACGGTTTTGCATCATAGTTTAGGTGAGCAAACAATGTTACAAATGGAAACCATGCATACGCCTGAGTTAAAATCTCTACCACAGAGGAAACACCCACCAGTTTCCGCTCCAGGCCGGTGCAGCACAAGTGCCTTGTTTACCGTCACAGTGGAACAGTCCCTGCCCCAGTGCCAAAGAAGTCGAATGAAGGCAGCACTGGCCCTGCACCACTCCCAGCTGTCTGAGATCGGCCGGCTTGCGCCAAGCCATGTGTGGTCTCAGGACTGCAAGTGAAGGCCTGGCAGAGGGAGACATCCTCTGTCCCGCCCCTTAGCCAGAGGCTGCTCTGCCTGGTTCCTGCATTGCTTGAGCTGTACCCAATTCACAGACTCAGGGGCAGGTTCAGATTATGGTTTGATCGCTCTTATCAAGCACAGATTCTTCACTCAGTTTATTCCTCAGGAATTTGTTTAGAGTGCAGCTGGCTTTCCCCTCTTCCTCCCCTCCAACCCATGGTCATTTGATGGTAACACTGTGTATCGTTCAATTTACTATGCTCTTGAGTTAGAGAACAAAATCTGGCTGCTGGCACCCAATTTAATTACTGTAGTGACATTCTGCATATCTATAGCACCTTCCATCCACAGATCTACCTCAACGCATGGGAGAGACATTCATTTATGCTCTCACCTCCTCTGCAAGGGACAGAGCTTCATTTCTCCAGTGGGGAAACTGAGGCACGGAGAAAAGATGTGTCTTGCCTGAGGTCACCCTGGCAGAGTTGGGATTAGATCCGCCCTATGCCCAGCCCCATGGTTTAAACCACAAGCCCATCCTTCCTGTTGCACTCTGCTAAATAAACTCCACTTTCCAATGGCAATAACCAAAATCTCCAAGCCAGGGAGGAGCCGGGCAGGTACACACTACAGAGGGGTCATACAGCAGTGCACACTTACTGAGGGGCTGTGCAGGAAAAGCCATGGGCAGGGGGAACTGCTCCAAGAAACAGAACAAATTAACCGGGCAGGAGCACGACTGCATTTTAGTCTCCTCTTTCGGTTCCATTTTACTTGTGCAGTGTACGGTCTCCGTGGCTGTACCCCGCACCGCAAGAATGCTGGCTAGTGCTAACCTACTGCAGCTCATGGGACATTCGGGTTCATTCTAAGGAGAACAGCACCATCTGCTGGACAGAGTGAAAACTGTTAAGTGAAAACTGGACTATTAAGTTCCTAGGCATCCACTGGGTGTGTGTGTGCAGCAATAAAACACCTGTGGCTGTCCCATACCAGCTGACTTGGGCTCACGGCTTGGACTGCAGGGCTATAAAACTTCAGCGGAGAGCCTGGGCTCTGGGACCCTCCCCCGTTGCGGGTCTAAATCCTCTCCCTGAAATCAATGGGCGTCAAGGTGGTTTCAGTACCTACTAAAACCAAAGGGTAAAGTCAACAGGAACCGTTTCCCTGGTTTTGCACAGAACAGAGTGCAGCCACGTCTGTGCACATCATGTCTGCGAAGACGAAGGGTTAGGTGAACAACAAGGTCTGCAGGGATGGGACACCGCTTCACTTCACTGGAATCACAAGGTATGGAAAGGATTCTGGGAACCAAACTGCTTGGCACCAGAGTGCATGTTTATCCAAGACTCATTTCAGTCGAAGCAGGAAGCTTTTGGATCAGTGTGTGAATGGAAAGCACCGATGGCCAGTGCAAGATCCACCAGCCAGCCTCTCGCATGTGGAGTGGGGAGTCTCATGCTGTGGAGACATTGGGGCCCAGCCACTTTCAGAGCTGAACAGAAACCAGACTTTCTCCAAACCACAGGGCGAGTCAGTTGCCCTGTCCCATCATACTGGCTTCCTGGACACCTGCATGAGGCCATAAGTGCACAAGGCCATAGCGTAGCTGTTTGGGAAGCTCCCTTGCTGCCTACAATGTCGACCTAACTTACATGTGCAGGGAACAGCTGTTCTAGCAATACAGAAATGGGTCCAAGCCAACCCACAACATCCAAACCCCCCAACACACGGGGGGAAATGAGATACCCCTGGCATTTCCCTTGCAAAAATGCTGACTAACTCACCAACCGGATTCAAACAGCTTGGCACGGGAGCAAAGCCAACACACGCCAATCAAACCACCCCACTAGACAAGGGGACAATACACAGCAGAGAGGACTGAAAAAGGCACCAAACTCAGCATACAAAGGTGGCATACCTGCAATGCGGCTGCCGTAGGCAACTCCCACGGCACAGATGCCGTTGTTTGGGACAGCTGCGATTTCACCAGCGCACCGGGTCCCATGGTGGTTCCCGTTTTCTGCGTCAGGGCGGGGCATAGGGTCGGGGTCATTGGAGTTCAAATCATAGCTGCCTTCAGGGCTCTGAAACAGACCAACAACTGCAGCTTAGAGGTCTCCTTTCTTTGGAGAAAGCAGATTTAATACCACATTAGCAGGCCTGGAAAGCAAAAGCTGAAAGCTTAAAGAATGCAGAGGCAGGGGTCCATGTGGGTTAGTCACCAAACCCCATTATGTATCACTGTGGAAGGATATTAGCAGAACCAGCACTGGTGTCCTGACGGGCAGTGGAATGGTAAAGTCAAATGCAATGACATTTTAGCATCTAGAAAAGATGTCCTCCTCCCCATCCCAGCCAGTTCACAGCATACCCAGGATTCCCCCACAGTGACATTCACCTCTCCCCATGTAGCTGCTCTCTGCCCAGCCTGCCAGTAGAGACAGGGAACGTTTGCAGCACCCAAAGCCAGAGGCACCTCAGCCAACAGAAACGATTGCAAACAAAGGCAAAGTGCCCTCATTTCACCCTGGAGCAGGGGTGGAGAAGGGAGCAAACATGACCCCCACCTCTCCTTCCACAAGCGAGGGAAAGCTCCTTCCCAGTGAGCAGCCCTGGCTTTGCCTCTCTGCTTAAGGGAGCAGCTTGTAAGAGCTCCAGGTGGGCACCTCCGATACTCATGCCCTATGGCGAGCAGCTGGCTCGCCTGGCACAGCAGGCCCCAGACATCTGCTGCTCACTAGCAGTCTGTGCAGTGTTCATGTAGCCTCCTGCACACAAGAGACACACGCCAGGCCAGCCAGCTACTGCCACCAGAGAGCAGGAGCCTCTGGTTCCAAGCCCCGTCTCCCCCATTCCAGTGACAGGGAGGGACTGCGGGAGAGGACTTGCACCAACGGCACACGAGACACCGCCAGGGGGATTAAGTGGTGCTGCTGCTAATGGGCCCTGAGTCCTGTGAACAGCCATGCAGCTGCCACAATGGAGCTACCAGGCGAAGAGTTTCATGTCTGGGTTGTACCTAGGCAGCCACTTGCTTTAGGCGATTGGCTGCTCTTATCTCAGACCCAGCTGGGGCATCCCACTCCAGAGCCAGGCTGTGGGGTACTCACGTAATTTGGCTGTATATCTTGGATGGTGTGCTCCACGCCATCATCCACGACCACGACGGTCACGCCGCGGCCTGTCACGTTCCGCTCCCACACGCCCGTCACGTTGATATCCTTTCCCGGGGTCCTCCGATTGTTCTAAGCGCCGGCAGAAAGAAGGAGAGGTGAGCAACAGCAGAGCCGGGGCAGCGGCTGGGGAAGGAGGGTCAGAGCACACAGGGATCTTGGCTCCCAGGCAGATTACAGGAGCATTTGCTCTCAGTCATTGCTTAGGGGAGGGCATGAAGCTGATGGCTGGGAGTGCAAGAGGCCTTGTGACAGAGTCTGACTTTCAGAGACGATGAGCACCTAAAGCTCCCAATGGCCAGCTGGAGCTGTGGGTGCCTGGCACTCCCAAATCAATCAACAAAATCAGGCCTTAAACTGGTACCTATCCCCTGCAGCAGCAGGAGGGCTTGGGAACTTCCATACCAGTGTGAAATGCAGGACATTTTCCCGGCACAATGCTTTGTCTGGCCTCTGCTCAGGTTCGTGTTCTTTCTGCCACCTCCCTGTTCCAGTAAGAACCAGGACAGGTCAGTTTCCCACTCTCCCGGCCCAGTTGATTTCAAGTGAGCATGCCGCTGGTGAAAGGTGCTAGATCACCAGCCCTGGGAGCTGGAAGTACAGCCCAGAGAGAGGCAGGGCATTCCCCTGCCCTAGGGGAACCACCTCCAAGGATGGGACAGGAGCTCGCTGCCCTATCTGCCAAGCATGCCAGCCAGGGACCCAGCCAGGGCAGTGGTTTGGCGACACGATCACTTGTGCGCTGGGAACTGGGCCAAACAGTTCCTTTGTTTCTCAGAGTAACGAAAGAAATCCCTTCCGATCTCCAAGAGGCCGCTTTCCCTCCCCCGTTTCCAGGCGAATCCCAGGGCTCACCCTGCTGGCAGCAGCGAGATCCCACAACCACTCGCACAGGAAGGACACTCACCAGATGCCACTGATGGGGGAACTCGGGGTCATTAAAGTGCAGGCTGCGTTTGGAGCGCTTCAGAAGCTTCTGCTCAGAGTGCCACCGCACGCGGCCATGCTGTGCGAGTAAAGCCTCCACCCGTCTCCTTATTGCCTCAGGTCCCCGTTCTGTCTGGTCATTCGGACGGTGGGTGAAGAGGTATCGGCCCTTTAACTCCCCGATCCGGCCCAGGTTCACCAGGCCTCCCGTCCTGGCCAGTTCGTCTGCCTGTTGCTCCAGCTCCTCTTCTTGGGAGGCCAGCCCCTCCGGCACATGCAAGTGCACGGCCCAGGTTAACTCTCCAGAGCCTTGCGCCATCTCCTGGGTTTTAGCCCCAGGATCGAGTTCTGAACCCTGTGCGAGTCCATTTGGCCCTAGCAAGGGAGTCCAGGCTGCAGTCAGCCAAAGGCACGTGTGGACACACAGGGTGGCCTCCATGACAGCACTCCATAATGGCGCCTTCCTCCTCCAATGCGGCATCAGACAAGCGGGCTGCAGAGGGCAAAGACGGAGAGTGAGAGTCCTTCACACGACCAGGCTGGGCTTGGGGGCTTCACCCCCAAGCACATAACTGAACATCCTCTGGACCAGAAAGCCCCACATCCCTCCGAGAAGCTCGCCCTTAAAACGAAGCCAGGACTCTGCAGAACTCTTTGGTACAGTAAGGGCAGCACCAGGCTTCTTTGTGTGCTGACTGTCATGGAGTTAGTTGCCTTTCCAATAATGTTAGAATTGGAATTGAATATGACACACCCAACCTAGGAGAAAATATCCTGTCATCTGGCAGCCATGAACCCATTGTGGGCGACTGAAATTACTGCCTGCCAGACAAACTGCTGACTTGTCTCCTGGGATCACTGACCATTGGGCAGATTCAACCCGAGGCTCAACAGGGAAAAAAGTCTCCAGCCTTGGGTTTCCTTTTGAATGCTGTTGAGTGGCAGAACAAAAGGACAGTTTGCCTGATCGTTTCCTCCTCTGGCTCTGCTCAGACAGCTGTGCCCCAGCCTACAGGGAAGAGGCATGAGGCTAACAATATAAAGCTACACAGAAACAAAACATTACAACACCTCTATATTCACATCAGATGGACACATCTGAGATCCAGATCCTTCTTGGAAAGTCTCCTTAAACATATTCCTAGCCTGTCCCCAGCAGAAGGAACCCACTGCTTTCCTCTCTGTGATCCGACTCTCACCTGCTCGTAACTTGAGGCCACATTTCAAACTCCACAACCAAGGATCTGACTTTGGGTTTCGGTGGCATGTTGCACTGAAAGCCAGTCCCACTTCATGCAGGAGTGAGAATATTCATACCCTCCAGCCCCGCCCGCCTCTGACCCCATCATGTGCCTGGACTAGTGCATTAATAGTCACTGGAGCTCTGTGATACTTCACCTCACCAGCAGTTTAATTGTTAACAATTACACAAGAGCTTTCCCCCCTACTCAGTTTACAAGCATGTGAAATACGTCAGTGGGGTGCAATTCCTGTCAGACACCATCAGCAACTAATGCTCATGATGGGTAAAGGATCAGGGAACAGGAAGGGAGGGGCAATTAAAAAAAAAATCACAACCTATTGTGAAAAGGAAACATGAATGACTGTAACTGGCTTTTGGCTCATTAAAAAGTGTAATGGAGATAAGAGATCTCACACAAATGAATTGTCAACACTTAGTTTCAAGGGTGAACAAATCATAGAATATCAGGGTTGGAAGGGACCTCAGGAGGTCATCTAGTCCAACCCCCAGCTCAAAGCAGGGCCAATCCCCAATTTTTGCCCCAGATCCCTAAATGACCCCCTCAAGGATTGAACTCACAACCCTGGGTTTAGCAGGCCAATGTTCAAACCACTGAGCTATCCCTCCCCCCATGAGACAGATAGGCTGCTAGATGGTAACATTCCATTGTCCACTGCATTCCCGTATCTCCATTATGAAGTGATGCACCACAAGCCAGGATCCAGAAGACTATCTGCAGATTGCAGGGGAGAGGGGGGTTTCCGTAGTGGCATGATGTTGCTGGAGACCAAAGCCAACCTGCTCACTGAAATATTACACTAAGTGGCTGAGTCAGAAAAGGTCACACAAGTTCACGGTTCATCTGCCTTTTCCAAGTGCTCCTTTTAAGCTCCAGGAGGCACAGACTCTGCACAAGCAGACCACTGTCAAAAACAAACAAAAAAGAACAAAAGAACAGCTATACTGCCTAGTCCAATATACCCTGTCTTCCGGCAGCAGCCAATGCCAGGTGCTCCAGAGAGAATGAACAGAACAGGGCAATCATCAACTGATTCATCCCCTAAAAGAACAGGAGTACTTGTGGCACCTTAGAGACTAACCAATTTGTCTGAGCATAAGCTTTCGTGAGCTACAGCTCACTTCATCAGATGCTCAAATAAATTGGTTAGTCTCTAAGGTGCCACAAGTACTCCTGTTCTTTTTGCGAATACAGACTAACACGGCTGCTACTCTGATTCATCCCCTGTTGTCCCTGCCCATCTTGGCTAATAGCCATTGAAGGACCTATTCTCCAAGAACTTACCTAGTTCTTTTTGGAACCCTGTTATAGTTTTGGCCTTCACAACATCCCCTGGCAATGAGTTCCTGTGGTTGACTGTGTGTTGTGTGAAATAGTACTTCCTTATATTTGTTTTAAACCTGCTGCCTATTAATTCCATTGGGTGACCCCTGGTTCTTGTGTTATGTATCCTGCCCTCAGCTTCCCTTTCCATCTCAAATCTTTCAGATCAATGTCCAGTGTTTCCCATTAGCACACTGAGTGACAAAAACACAATCACGCGGCAGACACTACTCCAAACCAACCAACTGGGTCAGATCAGGGGGCTAGAGCAGTGGTTCCCAAACTTGTTCCACCGCTTGTGCGGGGAAAGCCCCTGGCGGGCCAGGCCGGGTTGTTTACCTGCCACGTCCGCAGATTCGGCCCATTGTGGCTCCCAGTGGCTGCAGTTCGCTGCTCCAGGCCAATGGGAGCTGCTGGAAGCGGCGCAGGCCGAGGGACGTACTGGCCACTGCTTCCAGCAGCTCCCATTGGCCTGGAGCAGCAAACCGCGGCCACTGGGAGTCGCGATCGGCCGAACCCGCCGACGTGATAGGTAAACAAACCAGTCTGGCCCGGCAGGGGCTTTCCCTGCACAAGCGGTGGAACAAGTTTGGGAACCACTGGGTCAGGGAATAGAACTGGGTTTCTTTCCCAGCTCTGCCATGGACACTGTTCCAACAAGGGTTTTAGTAAGGTTTGAATTTGTTCAGTAATTAAAGAGCCCTCAGAAGTCAACTTGACTGGATATATTAAATAATTAGTTAATTAGACAACACATAACAGAAAGAGAGTAGATAGCACAGTCTGTGAGAACCAGCCCTACAACTGGCCACTTTTAGTCCATTTCCAGACTTTGTTGTATTTCATTAATTTTCAACTGCATAATCACTAACTGCTGCTTACTCATTTTTTGATTCCTGTCTACTGCAATTAGGACATTGCTTGCTCAGTCGAAACAGTAGGGCTCTGTGTCAAAGGTTATTTTTGTGAACAGTTTTAGCAAATCAGTAACTTCCCACTTTTTAAAAGTTTCTGCAAGGCACAATAGCTGTCTTGTGAGCCAAAGTATCAGTTACACTCAATAGTCACTTCTCCTCAGTTTACCCAACTATAAAATGGGGATATTTATCCACCCTATAAAGATTTTTGAGGCTTAATTAACTTCTATGAAATGCTCCTTGACTGCACTTAGAAAATACAGAATATTCTTAGTAAATGGTTAACTGAGGCAGTAACAGCTTCACTTTGAAACTCACTCACTAACGTCCAAGTGGACAGGACATGCACAGAACTAATAACATGAATGTTCCTCTGAATTGACAGGCCTCAAGTTTTACTTATTATTTACCCTCTATTAAATGGTTTGTTTGAAGCAAAGCTATAGTTATGCCAGGAAAGCACTTGCATGATCTACCCTTGAGTTGTTCACACAGTATGTTTGAAAAGTCCATGCATGTAGCTCTTTATGCATACCCACTTGCAAGAATTACAGTGTTCATGTTTTCTAGTGCCTTGCATATAACTGACAATCAGAAGTACCCCCATGAAAGTCTGTATAAGCATATTCATGACCTCTGGCAGCCCTAAAGACTTCACTATTAGGACTTATCTACAGATAGAAGTTGTACTCATTTAACTGAAGTGGTTGAGTACCAGCCTTTAGTTCAATTAGTGCAACTTCTGTGTGTAGGCACACCCTTAGAGTCATTATTCCAAAGAAGTATCATTGCATTTCTGTCATGCTCAGTGTTAGTCATGGGCCCTATTTATCTTGGTTCACACTCTGTTCTGTTCTAACCTGTAGGGTTTTGTAGTGCAGGTTAGAAAAGGAAAACAACTCAGAGCAGGAAGACCTGGGGGTGATTAAACCAGCAACATCTGCTTGCTCAGCACCTAGAATGCCTTTAAATTCTATGACTCCATGACACTCAAGAAAATCAAACAGGCCTAGATGTTGGGAGACGGAAACATGCCAAGAGCTGGGGAGCATGAGAACAAAGTATGAACAGCTCAGAAAGTGGTAGATAGTAGTTGGAGGAAATGTATTGCAGATTACAACTGCTAACTCAGCATATGGGATGCCTTTAGCCAGGTTTCTATCCTACTTCATCCTGAGATCTACCCTACCCCAAACAGGGTATTTTTATATGACTGATCTCCTCTAAGGAGGAAACTGATAGCTGTAAATTTCTGAACACACCAGCTGCTAAAACCTTCAAAGTTTCCCCACTTCCTGAAGAGATAGGGTGGTGTTGAAATAGAGAAAACAAGCAGCCAAAGACAGACCACCTGATAAAACTACACAAAGGCCACTGAATAATCATATTTACAATAAGTATCAGGGGGTAGCTGTGTTAGTCTGTATCCACAAAACCAACAAGGAGTCCAGTGGCACCTTAAAGACTAACAGATTTATTTGAGCATAAGCTTTTGTGGGTAAAAACCCCACTTCTTCAGATGCATCTGAAGAAGTGGGGTTTTTACCTGAAGAATTGGGGGTTTTACCCACAAAAGCTTATGCTCAAATAAATAACATAATTACGATAGATAACATTTTGATTTTCTATAAGACCTTATTCTCAGATGATCCCAAGGTATTTTACACACAGTAATCATTGTTCGCAAGTCTTATTCCTGACTCATGTGGGGGAAAGGAGGCACAGGGAAGTTAAGTCACACAGCCACATCAGTGGCAGAGCAGGATAGCAACCCAGAAACTGTGACTCCCAACCGAGTGCCAGGCTATTGGACAGTGCTATTCTCCTGGCTCTTTGCGTGCCCAAGATATTCAGGGATATATGAAAGTTCAGCAGAAGTGTCTTTGTCCAGCCCCCAGCAAACGGGACAGGATTAGCCCCTTCAGAAGAGGGTACACTTTGCACTTTCCCAGAACCTCCTCCTAAACACATGGGAAGAGAGAGCTATTGGG